AAATACGATTATATAGTTTTACGCAACTATATACTTATTGCATATTGTATGATTTTAAGCAGCTTACCAGACCAGAATACTCTCATTAGACCTGAAGTATTTAGAATATTCTAGACTTTCATAATAATATTTAACAAAAATACTGTTAAACATACAAAAACATTCTACGTCGTATGGTCCCGGCATAGAATAGGTTACCCATTGCTTTCCCATGGGTATTGTAAGGGGCAACTAAGGAAACTTAATGATCGAGCAATGGCAGTAGCATCCCTCTTAATCACCAGAAACCTAACTGTGGTTGCCAATCCGCCTACCAAGCGTGGCAACTACAGCAGAATCTCCTTGTAGGAGAAGTCTGTGTTCAACAGTGAACAGTTAATGGCTGGTATGATGAAAATGATGATAAAAAAAAAAATACTCACATAGACGTCCTGCCTTTTCTAAAGTCGTCTCGTCATTACACTAATTGCTTGGTCCACAAACTACAGTATTCTATGATATGAGGAACTCATATCATAGAATACTGTAGTATTGTATACTGTAGGACTGTTATCATTATCATCATCCTGTCGTCCTCCGTGGCGCAGCGGTCAACACGCCTGCCTGCGACGCGGAGGCCCCGGGTTCGATCCCCGGCCAGGTCATGATGGAAAACGATCTTTTCCTGATTGGCCTGGGTCTTGGATGTTTATCTATATATGTATGTATGTATTATAAATATAGTATCGTTGAGTTAGTATCCCATAACACAAGTCTCGAACTTACTTTGGGGCTAGCTCAATCTGTGTGATTTGTCCGTATATATATTTATTTATTTATCATGATGGGCTAACTGGCCTGCTTTCATTCTCATCTATCACCCTTCACTGGTGCTCCGCCAGCGTATCCCGTTAGAGCAGGGTAATAACAATAACATACCATTTTCACAACATATCATTAAAAATATAACAATAACATATCATTAAAAATTGATCTACTGAACCAATTTTGATAAAATTTCTATACAACAGGATCAATCTATAAGTATATCGTTTTAGATAAAAAAAAAAATAATCCGATATCTAAATTGGTTTAGAACTGACGGAGTTATGAAGTAACAAACATTAAAAAATACAACAGAATTGACAACCTCCTTTTTTGAAGTCGATTGAATTCACTAAGGACTAGTTATTTACACACATTCTACATAGAAGGTGAGCTTTTGTATAAAAAAGCACTAGTGCAAAGCCTTGGTGGAGCTTTAAAGTCCCGCGTCGCTGGAAAATTGAGTTTTAACGTCGAATATAAAAGTCGGCACGAAACGGGGAATAAATTGATTTTTCTGTCATACGTCACTTGAGTGAGGTTCGGAAAATGCATTTACGATTCGTTTTCTATCTATAGATACTTAATATGCATATTTATCATAAAACTGTCCACTGCTGAACATAAGCCTCCCCCCTGGGGGGCTTTGCCAATAGTTGCTACGCTTGCCAGGCGGATTGTTTTTTGATGGGTGAAAATGGTATGGTAACCCCGCCTGCGATAACGGGATACGCTGGCGGAGCACTAGTGGAGGGTGATAGATGAAAATGAAAACAGGCCAGTTAGCCCATCATGATGAATTCATCACGAATTAACCATAATAGTTTCCAGAGAGAACCGCTAGGAGGTCGACCTGGTTGGGTATATTGCTAATAGGATTCTCAGTCTCCATTACTAACAATCCCTTTCCCCCCTGGCAAGCGGATTGGCAGCCGCAGTTAGGCTTTGGAGATGTTTTAAGAGGGACGCTGCCCATTCCTCGGTCTACTTAGTCAACTCTTACGACATCCACGGGAAAAGATGGGGTGGTCTATTTTATGACGGGGCCACATGGCATACTACTTAATATGTATTTAATTTAAAAAGGTCAACAAAAAACCATTTTTTATTCTTTACATTTTACGGGAAAAAATGGCTTATTTACGAAGTGATTTTAAGCAATACAGCATTAATTTTTGTTAATTTTTTTTATATTATATATTATGTAGGTACAGTTTTTATTAGCATTGCACCCGCGCGAAGCCGGGGCGGATCGCTAGGTAAAAAATAAAATGTCAGTATTTTTGTACCGACATCATGAAATAAATAAAACTATAGTACAACTAAATTGCATGCATTTTCACAGTGTGTTTCTGAGGTTTTAACTTAAAACTTTTTTTTAATGGATTTTTTTTCTTTTATACAACTTAGAATGGCAAATAAGTTGACGGCCCACCTGATGGAAAATGCAACCGTCGCCTATAGACATGAGCAGTACCATGGACATAACAGAGACATAGTGTTTCGCCCATGATACCCTCCATGCGTTGCCATTCCTGAGGACTCGGGTGTTATTCCTCTGTACCCAATAAATTCACGCCATGGATGACAATACAATGGAAACACCTGTGCGTGTATACAATATATGTATTGTATACAATACATATAGTATGAGGGATGATTGATGAAATGGAAAGAGTACAGAGATGATTAGTTTAGAAAAGTCCCTAAAATATCCTGATCAGGAATCAAACCTGTGATCTCATTACGAAAACTGCTTACCGCTACGCCACTGAAGTAGTCGATGACCATTAGGCATTGGTAATATGGATCCTACCATCCATGGTGGGGGGAAAGGGATTGTTAGTAATGGGGTCAAAATATCAGGGTATAGCTTGCAATATACCCTGTCAAGTCGACCTCTACGTGGTTCCCCCTGGAAATCATCGTGGCTAATTCTAGTTGAATTCGTCGGGACAGGCTATCTGACCTGCTTGACTTATGTATACATAGCTCTGTGTTACCATACCATTATCACCTATTTGTAATATGAATAATACTAATCCGATATCTATATATCGGGTTCCTCTGGACACTGATAATGGAAAATAGTTCATCACCCACTTCGATATCGCCCATATCGGTCTGATATCTATTTTCGATTATGTTAAAAGTCTGTTATCCAATATTATTTTTTTTTATAACAGACTTTTAACATATCTGGTACATAGATATTGTAACTGAATATATAGATATTGCTATATATTAGCCATTCCTAGTGACCAGTGCGTATCACGTTCATATAATTTAACTTTATATTCTTCTGAATATTAAAAACAAAATGCTTCTAAATTTAATTACGCTCTGCGTTACAATTAATTTTACATTTTGCTTAATAATTTATAGTTTTCTTTTATGTGTTAATATTAATATTTGCTAATGAAAAAGTGTTCTAAATAAATATGTATTAGGGTTTATATTACATTGTAGTTACCAACAAAGGGCAAGGAAACAAATCTCAAAGTGAAACAGTAATTTTTCATGCAAACAAAGAGATGTCGAGTAAACACCGGACCGTCGGGTTTTAATCATTAATAACGAAATAATAATTATTCTGTTTACAATTTGGTGTAAATCGATGATTTTGCTAGAGGGATACTTTGTACAGAAGTTGTCTGCATGGGTACTTTTGTCCCACTTGTGTTACAGTTGATAAACTCAAAAAAGAGATAAAGAGGTTTTTTCAGTTGTTAAGGTGCGCGTAATGTTCCTGACAGGCGTTCATAGGCTACGGTAACCGCTCACCATCAGGTGGGCCGTATGCTTGTTTGCCACTTCAGTGGTATAAAAGTCTGATATACTTGCATAATTGTGTTACAATTTGAAGGATGAGATATGGCAGTGAAAAAACAGTTCCAAATTCAAATTAAAAAATAGGCCATATCGGGAAAAATTTTAATCTAAATTACTGGCAACACTGAAAAAAACGCTTTGATTTGATTAAAAAAAATCTATTTAACTGTCAAAATTTTGGCACGTTTTTATTTATCGATGTAATCGAGATATGAATAACGATTTAAAAACAAAGAAGTTATAAAAAAACAATATAGTAATATAATAATAGTAAAAAAAAACAATGAGAAAAATCTGATTGACAATGGTTGACTGTTAGAGAACACCGTCCGGTGTTAAGTTCGTAAAACGTATATAGAATTTTACTGTGCATTATAGTTTAAATAAATAAATAAACATAAATATAGAACTAGAAAGGTAAATTTGTATAAAAATAGTTGTGTTGCCCACAAAAATAATCTTAGAAATACAACACAACACAAGTAACATATTGTTCGAGTGACTGTCTCCGTGGCGCACAATAATAATAAATCGAAATTTAATATGAACGGACAACAGTGGCCGCCATGTTTGTTTGGCCGTCCATCCAATCAGGTGATGTGTGTGTACCCTATGAATTGCCAATCATCGTGCTATAAGTCGATTGGGTAAACTGCGGCTTTGTTATATTAATATATTTAACCGACTACGAAAAGAAGGAATTGAATTTGTCAGAAAAAATTTGAATGTTTAGGATCAATTTTTTTTATACAACTTAGAATAGCAAACAAGCTGACGGCCCACCTGATGGAAAGTGGTAACCGTCACCTATAGACATGAGCAGTACCATGAACATAACAGAGTATATTTCGCCCCGTGCGTTGCCATTCCTGAGGACTCAGGTGTTATTCCTCTGTACTCTGTATATATATACAGATAGATATATATATAAATCTATATATATTAAAAGTAATGTTTGTATATTATATGTGTATTATATGTATATATATATATATATATATATATATATATATATATATATATATATATATATAATATATATATATATATATATATATATATATATATATATATATATATATATATATATATATATATATATATATTTATTAACTTAGGTATCGTATATGTGAGTCAGTCACAATAGAACAGTGTCACATTTACAACAATAGTACCATAATGCTCAATTTCACAACACGATTATTCATAGAATTGCATAATAAGCAAGTACACCACAATGCAGTTACAGTCTAATGCATCCAAGGATGTCACAAATTTTTTGTGCATACTACCATTCAACCGGTGATAAGGTCACGTCAACCCCGTGATAAGTATTCTAGATCGGTCAGAACGTTTGGACGCGTCCATCGCAGTGGTTGTTAGGAGGTTCGATAATTAAAAAAAAAAATGACGGCTAAATTTATTCAAGAGAATATTTTTGTTTTGATACTTGGAGTGGTGACCCTTACTGCCGGTATATTTATAACAAAAGGTGAGTAAATTGATTCATGATTTAATTTGAATTGTGTTTATTTGTTGTATGTTGTATCATTTCTTTGAACATAGCCTTCCCCATAAGGGGGATTTTGCTAGTGTTGCCACACTTGTCAGGCGATTTGGCAACCGCAGTTTTGAGTTTTGGTAATGTTTTGCCATTCGTCCACTATAAGCTCTCTTAGTCGCCTCTTACGACACTTACGGAAAAGGAAAGGTTGGCCAACTGCTGTTTATTTATTAATATTTTATAACGCTATATTATTTTTAAGTCCTATGGTCCCGTCATAGAATGGGCCACCCCTTCCTTTCCCCTGAGTATCGTAAGAGGTGACTAAGGGAATTTAATGATCGAAGGATGAGGGATGGGCATCAGCGTCCCTCTTAAAACATCATCAAAGCCTAACTGCGGTTGCCAAAGAGCGTGTCAAGAGTGGCAGTTCTAGCCAAACTCCCTAAAGGTAGCCTATGTTCAGCAGTGGACAGTTAAAGGCTGGAATGTAATGATAATGACGATGATGCCTTGTGTCAAATTCGAAGAATTAATCATCCATGTAAAAGTATTTTGGCAAATAAATATTCCTTTCATTTCATTCCGTTATTATGAAATCCATTTCATTAATAAATAAATAACATAAAAATTATAATGATAAGTAATATGTAAGTTTCCATACAAATGCTTCGCCAATAACTTAAGGCTATTTTCCACGAAAAAACCAACTTGAATTGTGGCAAAATCAGTTAAAAAAAAGATTTAAAAACCAAACTACTGAACCGAATTTGGTAAAATTTCTATGAGACCAATCTGTAAATATATCCTTTCATATAAAAAAAAAAAAGATAAAGTTATGAGGTTAATAAATATAAAAAATATACAACTGAAACGAGAACCTTTTTTTGTGGTTGCTTGAAATTAGGTAAAAATTCATATGAATCTAAATCAGTATATATAATTAATACTAAGTATGCGGCAGACTAGATGGAGTGACGATCTCAAATACATTCTTGGGAGTCAGTGGATGCAGGTGACTCAGGGCTGGTTCCTATGGTCTATGGGGAAAGTCTATGATCAGCAGTAGACATAACGGCTGATATTATGACAACGATGATTTATTTTATGGGTGATAATGGAATGGTAACCCTGCCAGCGCTATCGGTATACGCTGACGGGGTACAAGTGGAAGATGATAAGTGAGGATGAATGCAGGTCAGTAAGTCCATCATGAAGAATTTCACGGGAATTAACCACGATGGTTGCCAGGGGGAATCGCGTTAGGATCGACCTGATAGGATATATTGCTAGCAATGGTGCTGTTAGACCCCATTTCTAACAATCCCTTTCCCCCCGATGATGATGAACTTATATTGCAAGGTTGAATTGTAAAATTAAAACAATATAAATACTTACGAATTTAAAACAACGTGGTAAATACAGCGTAATGATACTTAATGATGCTTATCTTTATTTATTTATTTTATTCATACCAGTATTTGGGAGTAATTTTAAAACTTGTTTTCTTTGACAAAATCTTTGAAAGTTGCCGTCGTTTTAATTAATACATGCATATTAATTTAAATAAAAAAAAATGTACAAATATATACTTATTTAAGAAATATATCAAGAAAGTAGTTCAAAATTCAAATAAAAAAAAAATCGGCCTTATCTGCGAAATTAAAAAAAAGTGTGTCAAAAATTCAGTCAGCCAAAATGACTTTTTGCCGATTAAATTTTGGCCTGTTTTTGCCACTCTATGTATATAATGTATAATCGATGCTCTATGTATATAATCTAAAGTTAGGTACTTATACAAGTAGTACTTTACATATCAAGATTCTCCATTGCGTGAATAACCTGGTAATTTCTTGAGCAGTGCTCTAATTCTTTTATCGTAGCATTCCAAGTACTGTATGCAAGGACCATCGGGAAACGCGCGCACCGTACCTCTCCTGGAAAATGGGTGACTTTACAATACTTCTGTATGTGGGATTGTATGTATGTTTAACCTGTCTGTATGGATATTCCTGTCCTATTAATGTTTCTGCCTTTAAGCAAAGCTGCTGTGTTGCTGTATGTTTGTGTTTCGATTCAAAGAATGGGAATTATTTATTCTATTTGTTTATTTATTTACCATTACTGCACCAATATTATAGGAATTGTTGATAGATATTCAATAAATATAGTGTAGTACAAAAGGTGGTCTCAATGCTTAGCAATCTCTGCTAGGCAACCTTTGGGTAGAAGGAATTAAAGAAGAGATAGATAGTCCCCATCGCTAGCAATATACACTGTGAGGTCGACCTCCCCGCGGTCCCCGCTGGAAGTCATTGGGGTTACTCAGCAATTACTGAGTTCGCCACCATGGGCCAACTGACTTCGTCCTCATCATTCCACTCTTCATTAGTAACTTGCCATTAGCATTTATGGGTGCCCATTTAAAAGAAAAAAATAACGTTTTAGTTCTCAGAACTCATTTATAAACCGATTTCGAAATTTTTTTTTATCAAAAATGATATACTCTCAGCATTGGCCATCCCTTTCTTTCCCGCGAGTGTCGTAAGAGGCGACTAAGGGAACTTAATAGCCGATGGATAGGCAGCAGCGTCTCTCTTAAAAATGTCACCAAATTGCCAAACCGCTTGCCAACTACTGGGGAAACCCTGTAAAAAGAGGAAGCCTATGTTCAACAGTGAAGAGTTAACGGCTGGCATGATGATGATGATAATACAGAAAGAGCTGCATTACTTGCAGAAACAACCAGGTTGGCAATGCAGCAGTCTCCTCGGTCTGGCCTTTACTCTTGCATTCTCTCTATCGTCGCTCCAGCAGGTGTACTCTTCATAGAACGTGCATGAATTATGGGCCTCCAATGGTGGGCATTCTTTCTCTAAAAGTGAAAATACAATTATAATTAAGTAAATATTAAACCAGGAATTATGAGGTTAAAATATGATCTCCACTAAATTGCCTTATGGTTTTTTTTACGAGATGATAATAGAATGGTATAGGCTGGCGGGGCACCAGGGATTGATGATACGCGAAGACGAAGAATAGTGAAGAATTCACCAGGAGTTAACCACAATGGTTTCCAGAAGGATCACGTGGAGGTCGTCTTGGTATTTTTTTAACGGATGATAATTTATATATTAATTTATTCATTAAAAATAATTAAAACATTATAACAGCAAAAGCCAAATCAATGTTATAATGTATTTGTGAGCCGCTTCAAATATCTTTGGCAGGCTACTACTAAATATATCAAATAATAAATTTAATGAAATGGATACCGCCTGCGCTAGCGGTATACGCTGGCTGAGCACCAGGAAAGATGAGAATGAAAGATCAGGTAGGCCATCGTGATGAATTCACTTAGAAAAAAACACGATGGTTTCCAGTGACCATTTTGTGTTACCGAGGCACACGCACGAAATTTAAAATTATGGTACTTCTTTTATGTATTTTGTTTTTGTTTATCTCTTTTTACTGTGTCCTAAAATAAACAAACGATGTCGCGGGCTAAGACTGGTATTTTATAATACAAAATTGCTATATGCATTAATACTCACTGAGTATAAAACAAATCGATTGCACAACAAATAAAATGAAAATATATGTTTCCATTTTTTAAATTAATAATTAATCACATATAAAAGAGACTCGTTAAAAAGTTTATTAACGTACTCGTAATTATGTACCTACTAAGAATTTTATCGTAAAATTCATTACTTTCTACGTACCTAACAGAAGTGAGTACAATTAATGTTTTTTACGGCTCTAAGATCTTATTATATTTTGTTTCACTGTATTTCATTTTGGAGGAGGATATCATGAAAATTAAATTTATTCGACGAACAAGACAAGTTTAACAAGATGGTAATTATAAGGCGTGCCATATTTCACTAGAAGCATGTTAAATTTCATATGAAATGTAAATTAACAAGCTAAATAATGTTACTTCCCTTCATATGGTTTGCTACATATAACGCTATGTGAAACAATGAGTACTCGAACTCTGATTGAAAGAAAGAAATATTTTTTATTTAAGTGTTTGTACGTTGTGTGATATTAGGTTATTTGTAGTGAAAATAACCTGTGAAATATCACAGTTGTTAAAAGAGTGAATATAAAAAATAATTTCACAGTTTGTCAATGATTCAAAAATAGCAACCTTTGCTATGTCTAGTTAATTTTAGAATAATAATGAACATTTTATTATGTTCTACTTCCAAACAACCGTTTTATATTACATTTTTTTTAAATAGGGGGAAAAATTCTCTATTCGTCCGTATGTCTGTTTTTATTTATGGAGATTACAGTTCATTACTGTTCGTTTTCTCCATTTTTAACACAATTTCAGCAGCTTTTTTTAAACAAAAATCTACCTAATTAATGAGTAAAAACAAGAAATATGTATACCTACTTATAAATTGTTGTAAAGTGATTTTTTTTGCGTTTGTTAATAAAATATAATTATTTTTGAAATGTAAATAAAAAAAAACCTCCATAATTATGATAAAATGCGTGGCGCTGTGGTAGATATGTTATTTTGTGTAGATTCTGGGTTATATTTTCGATAAGATCAATTCAGGAATTAACGAATTTTCAGGTTAATATGTTTTAGGTTGATTTGCCTCTAAAATTTCGATGTTTCCTATCAGCCTTTAACTGTATACTGCTGAATATACGCCCTTGGAGGGTTTTGTTAGATATTGCCATGCTAGGTAGGCGGATTGGTAACCGCAGTTAGGCTTTGAAAATGTTTTAAGAGAGACGCTGCTGCCCATTCCCCAGCCTCCTTAGTCGACTCTTACCACACCTATGGGAAAGGAAGGGATGGTTTATTCTATACTGGGACCACATTAGTTTCTATTAATACGAGTATATCTTAAATTAAAGATCAGGTAATAAACTGATTACGTGATTCAGTTACACTTAAAATATATATTACACAGCGACGCATTTAAAATTTTAAATATAAAAGGATACAGTTGCGATTCGAGTGTACTATATTTACTCAGACGTGTGATTTCGGCATAAAATGTGCCACCTCTTCCTTTCCCGTGGATATTGTGAAAGGTGACAAAGGGGACCTAATTGTCAGTGATGGATAGTTTTTCTTAAAACATCATATTAATCATTGCTATCTCTCAGGTCTACCTCGACGTCATCGTCCCTGAAAACCAACGTGCTGAATTCCAAGTGTATTTATCACGATGGGCTAACTGACCTGTCTTTTTATCCTCACCTATCCTCGTGCCCCGCCAGTGTATACCGCTAGCGCAGGCGGGGGTTACTATTCCATTATCATCTATTAAAAACCCGTTTGCCAAGCGTGGCAACTATTGGCAAAACCTTCCAAGGGTGAGGCCTAACTCCAGCACTGGAGTTAACTCCATTAACAGTTGATATGCAGATATTTACTCAAAAGCATCTGTCATGATGTATTTTGTGTTTCAAATGAGTATTAACTTTACTTCTTAGTGCTGTATCGGTTTAATACCGTCACATTTACCGACAGGCGGGAAAGGATTGTTAGTAATGCGAGCTACCAGTCTCATTGCTAGCAATATGCCCTGTCAGGTCGATCTTCACGCGGTTCCCCCTGGAAACCATCGTGCTGAATTCCAGATGTATTCGTCACAATGGGCTAACTGATCTGCTTTTTCATTATCCTCCTATCTCTCATCTATCCTTCACTGGTGCCCCGCCAGCGTATACCATTAGCGTAGGCGGGGCTACCATTCCATTGTTATCTATTAAAAAATATATATATACCGACAGTCGTGAATAAGATCCTAGAACCAAAGTCTCAACCCAAGTACATGCCAATATATTTTTTTCTATTTCAGATGAGTGTCCGCCTAACGAGGAATACCTGCTGTGCGGTTCAGCATGCCCTTTCAACTGCACAGACCCCGTCGGTCCCATCACGTGCTCTGAGGACTGTGTCGAAGGCTGCTTCTGTAAGACTGGTTTCTTGAGGGACGAGAACGGTACCTGTGTTAATGCTGAACGGTGTACTGGAGGTGAGTTGATAGGAAATGCATTTGAGAGCATTATACCATAATTATGCCGTACAGAAGTGTGGCAAGGTTGGAATTATCTGATATATTTAAAAAAAAAAAAAGTATGTGGTAATTGTCAATTATGGTGGGCCAAGTAACCCGCATTCAATTCTCACTTATTATCTTCCACTGGTGTCTCGTCGGTGTATACTGATAGCGCGGACGGGGTAACCAATCCATTTCACCCATTAAAAAAAAACGGCTGATATAGTTTACCTAAGGGGGATGTTGCTAGTAGTTACGATGCTTGGATTAGAACGCTTTTAAGAGGGACGCCGTTGCCCATCCCTCGACCATTATGTTCCCGTAGTCGCCTCTTACAATGCCTACGGGACAGAAAGAGATTATACTTCTATAGGAAAGATATTATATCTCTGTACTCTTTTAATATATTTTTTTTTTTTGATGGGTGAAAATGATATAGTAAGCCTGCGCTAACGGGATACGCTGGCGGAGCACCAGTGAAGGGTGATAGATGAGAATGTAAACAGGCCAATTAGCCCATCATGATAAATTCATCAGGAATTAACCATGATAGTTTCCAGGGAGAACCGCAAGGTGGTCGACCTGGTTAGGTATATTGCTAGCAATGGGATTCTAAGTCTCCATTACTAACAATCCCTTTCCCCCCAAAACCCTTTTAATATATTGCCACTATATCAGTCTTCAAACTGATACTCAGCCATTTTAGTATAGCTGATTCACAGTAAAAACACGAGTGGGCCAAACATACTTAAGCTTAAGACTCGTAGAAAATCTGCAGCTCTTAAATAATCGTTAACACCACCAGGTAAGAATCCAGTATGTGATGCGAACGAAGAGTTTCTCTCTTGTGGCACTGCCTGTCCCGGTACATGCGCGCAGCCTGTTCCTTTAGTCTGTGGATTGGCCTGCAGCATGGGATGCTTCTGTAAATCTGGATACGTCCGAGATGAGACGAGCAACAATTGTGTAACTTTGGACAAGTGTCCGCCGCGTGAGTGCTTTTTTTTTTATTTATAATATGTCTATTTACTTCAATAAAACTTATTGATTATGTTAATAAATGAACTATGGTCAGGTTCATAGACAGTCCATTGTTGCTTAATAATACATATAAAAAAATTATTATAACAGAAATTCGGTGTTTTGTTCTTTTGAGGGCAAAATAATAAACTGAGTTGTGCTACAATGGCACACGTATGAAAGAAGAAAATTGTTACCTTTTTTTATAGGTATATTTAGTTTTTTTTTTTGTATATGCATTCTTTTATCTCTTTTTACTATGTCTATTGTTATTTTTGTACTGTAAATAATGCAAATAATTTATCTATTTATCTATTAATTGATTGGATTTTTCGATTTATTACAAATGCCATTTACTGTCTGTTTCTGTGTTAACTAAAAAAGTCTGCAAAAATAACCTTTTCACTTCTTCATCAAGTTTAATCGAAATAGATTTTTGTTAAATTGTTAACAACCTTCTATGGACGTGTTTCAATAGGACACCAGAGTAACCGAACCTAGGATCTGTGATTTTTAATCGATTTTGTTTTTCTATTGAAAAATAATCAATTTTACTTCTTTTTTCATTCCCATAGAACAATGCTTCAACCAGAACGAAGTTTACGACATATGTAACGCGAACTGCGAGCCATCTTGCGACGATCCGGAGCCGATTTGCACGAAACTCTGCCAATCGGGCTGCGTATGCGCAACCGGATTATTGCGTAACGCTGACGGAGAGTGCGTTAGCGTCGACAAGTGTCCAGCGAGCAATTCCACCGATCAGGGACTCTTGGGGAAATACCTGAACGCCATTAATAGGATTATACATCTTTCTAGTGTTTAATTATATATATAAAAAAATACTATATAAGTTTGGAAATAATGAGTAACCTATAGATTAAATTAATTGACATATTTAAGATTATTTTCAAGGGGATTTATTTAATGGATGATAATGGAATAGTGACCCCCGCCTGCGCTGTCGGTATACGCTGACGGGGCACCAGTGAAAGGGGATAGGTGAGGATGAAAGCAGAGCAATTGGCACATTACGTACACAACGGATTTAAAAATTAACCACGATAGCTTCCAGGGGTTGGTCCACCTTAGTGGTCGACCTGATAGGGTATATTTTTCAGGGGCGTCTGGTCCCTTTAAGAAGATGTATACATATGTTTAGCCATCTCCTTGCCCATAGCTGACAGTTCCGGTCTTTATTTTGCGGTGGGCACCGAAAAATTCTGCGGTGGGTATGGAACAACCCCATCTAAATTCGCCATGACTGTATTTAAATACTAGTAGAATGAGACAGAGGTACCCAAGTACCTCTGTCCCATTCGTGTTTCAACCGTGAAGCAGTTGTGTTTGCATGGCTGTGTTTCAGTTTGAAGGGTGGGATATGGCGTGAATTTACTGGGTACAGAGGAATAACACCTGAGTCCTCAGGAATGGCAACGCATGGGGGGTATCCTGGGTGAAACAGTATACTTTGTTTGTTGCTCATTCCTATAGGCGACGGTTACCACTTTCCATCAGGTGGGCCGTCAGCTTGTTTGCCAGTCTAAGTTGTATAAAAAAAAAGAAATGTCTTCAACCTCACCCATCATCCTTCACTGGTGCCTCGTCAGTGTATACCGTAGCGTAGGCGGGTTTTTTTTTTGATAGGTGAAAATGGTATGGTAACCCCGCCTGCGCTAACGAGATACGCTGGCGGGGCACCATGATAGTTCCCAGGGGGAACCCGAGGAGGTCGACCTGGTTGGGTATATTGCTAGCAATGGGATTCTCAATCTCCATTACTAACAATCCCTTTCCCCCCGCGTAGGCGGGGTTAACATTCCATACTCATTCATTAAAAAAAAAACTGTACTTGTGAATATATTGTTAGTGTGTATACTTAATTATATTGCTCTTGAAGGAATCTTGAATAGAATAGTTAAACTTATAATAGCTTATTCATAAAAACTGAAACGTGCCTAAAATCAATTTGAACTATTACACAGTTTTGTCAAATTCATTCAAATTCAGAACTTAGCACAAAAGAAAGAGATAAAACAATTTAATAGCTAAAACAGGCTTATGAGAGGCTTGACGTTTTATATAATCTATACTTATAATAAATCTGTATAGAGGTCAATTATGTACATGAAATATATTTCCAAAATAACTATCAGGGGGTGATTAGCGATCGATATTGATGCCAAAAATACAGTAAAATTTTTGTCTGTCTGCCTGTATGTTCGCTATAGAAACAAAACTACTCGACGGATTTTAACGAAACTTGGTACAATTATTCTTCATACTCCTGGGCAGGTTATATTATACTTTTCATCACGCTACGATCAATAGGAGCAGAGCAGTGAAGGGAAATGTTAAAAATGTCCACTCGTGCGACGCCGGGGCGGGCCGCTAGTTTTGAATGAAGATGTACACCAGGTATTAACTATATAAGTTCCAACTAACCCTGAGTGGAAAAGAGCATTAATTACCAGCGGAAAGTGTGCGGACAATAAGAAGAGGAAACATTATGGTTGTTTCTACTAAGAAATAATTAATATTCTCACCTAAATAACAATTTAAATTTTATATTTACATTCAAAATATATACATATCTGTATATAATATATAATCTGTATATATATATATATATATATATATATATATATATATATATATATATATATATATATATATATATATATATATATATATATATCTGTATATACATGTGTATAATATAATATATTATCCCTACATATACAAAATATATACATATACCTACATATACAAACGAAATTAATTTATAAGGACAGAAAATGCTTTCCTAAAAAATTTCCTTACAAAAGATTTCCTAAACAAATTAAATTTAAAACAGTTGTATTTAGAACGTGAAATCATCAAGTTTAAATTTAAAGAAACATGTACAAAAAAAAAAAATTAAAAATATCGATTCTATAATTGTTGACATAATCGCATTATATAATCGTAAAAACATTCAGACGAAATGAAAATTTTCTTTTGGGAGTCGCTCAAAAAGGAAATAGTCTTTCTACCTTGATAAACTTTGCAATTATTCTTCATACTCCTGGGCAGGTTATAGTATACTTTTTATCACGCTTCGATCAATAAGAGCAGAGCAGTGAAGGGGAATGTTGGGAAAACGGGAGAAATTACTCCATTTTTAAGCTTCTGTCGCCTGTGCAGCCTTAATGGCCACTTTTTAAAATGTAAAAATGTCCACCCGTGCGACGCCGGGACGGGCCGCTAGTTATATAAATAAGGAGGTTAAAATTTATGCCAATTGGTTAAAAAAAATCTATTATATATGCACCATTGATTTTATCTATTAGTATTAATATGTAAATTTACAGGGTACAGAGGAATAACACCTGAGTCCTCAGGAATGGCAACGCGTGGGGGGTATCATGGGTGAAACAGTATACTCTGTTATGTCCTTGATACTGCTCATGTCTATAGGCGACGGTTACCACTTTCCATCAGGTTGGCCGTCAGCTTGTTTGCCATTCTAAGATGTATAAAAAAAAATGTACCAAATTAGTTACTTAATTATTTAAATGTTCAGATGTAATTTAATTGTAAACAGTGAAATAAATACATTTTCACCGATTACCTGTAGTAATTATTTTATGTTTATTTTATTTCTATGTCATATCATCGTATCTATAAATAAAATTGTCAATTAACGGTTTCTGTATATAAAAAAATATTTAGGAAAAATTATAAAAAGCAGTAGGGTGGCAGGGCTGGCTAAATGCCATGGGCCCCCGACCCAAAAGGGCCCCGGCTCAAGAGGCCGCTAGCTCAGAAATATTTTTATTTTACTGATAGGGCCCCATAAAAAGAATTTGCCACGGGCCCCAAATGGTATAGTTACGTCACTGATTTAGTAATAAATGATTTTTAATATTATTTTATTTTTGATTTATTATTATAAAAAGCAATAGGAGAATAATAGTTTTTTAGATTTTTTTGTCTGACTATATGTTTGTTTAAGTATTACGCAAAAAATATAGTGGTAAATTGGATGCGGTTACCACAGTTGTGCTCTTAAGGTGGTTGGTCATTGGACACAATTGGAAAGGAATATTAAAATGCGCCAGAATCGTTTTTCTTGATTATTTTGTAATTAAAGATTGAACCAGTGACCTAGGAGCTCCGGAGTTGAAGCAGGGGCAAAGGGGCTCCCTGAGTGAGCCCCAATTGACCCTCTTGTCAGAAAGGAAAGAGGACGTTCATTCATTCATTCGACCTTAAAGATATAACTTTAAGTCTGGCATATGGGGGGGGGGGAAGGGATTGTTAGTAATAAATGTCACTGATTTAGTAATAAATGTTTTTTTTATATTAATAATTTGTTTAAAAAATAATATAAAGGAAATCATTTGTATTAAAGTACTTATATTTTGATTTAGATCATGATATGAAATTACCTAAAATAATACGACACAAAGATATTAGAAGTATGCTTAAACAACTATGTAGTAATCGATGTCCGTTATTTGGCAGTGGTACGGTTATTACGTTGGCCACCTGAAAAAAAAACAAACATTTATTTAAAAAAAAAAGTAGTAGTATTGTGCTTTTGAGCATAGACTAAGTAATCACTACATCTTATGAGTACCTGCTAGCGCCATCTACAATCAAATAAAAAAATATTAGTTTACTAAACTGCGCCATCTAAATGCTATCCATATAAACTTTTCTGTAGCGTGTTAGTAATCAGTTTTAGTAACATATATTATTCAAAGATGGCGCTGTACAAATATTTTTAAGAAATAAACTACTTTTAAGAAAATATTGTAAATTAAACTGCATTTATGAAAAAGTAGTTCCCCTATTTAAATTGAAATTATAACTAATAAATATAAATTATATATAAACTTACGTTACAACTACATTCTGTATATAAGTAGATACATATTTCTAATATCTAACCTAGATAGGTACATACGTACTCGTATGCCTATCTAGGTTACAGAATAAAAATATACACAGAAATATTGCAGTATACTAATAGCGTAATTTGTTGTTTAATATTACGCGTTATATACATAAAAAGAGTCTATAATTCCCAGAATCATCAAAAAAATTTTGCGGAAAAGGGTGGAAAAAAGTAACTTTTCGCATTTTGTGAATATGAAGAAGCGCGGTACGTTAAATGGTTGGGGGAGGGGGGTGAACAGGCCCACCCCATTGTAGCCAAGGGAGCAGTTAGTATCTATGGTACGATGTTGTTTTTAACATTTGTATTGTGTACTTTATGAGCGGGAAAATGTAAAAATGCCATCGTTATCATAAT